AATTAATTAATTTTCTATTAACTAATCTAAGTAATTAAAGATTCATACGCCTATTACAAAAAAAAACATTTATACACCAACTTAAAAAAATATTAACACTATTTTCTAAAAACTAATTAAGTAATTTTTTATTGACTAATTAATTAACATATTAAATTAAATTAAATACAAAAACTGGCCGGGCCGAAAAAAATTTGTGGCCGGCACGTCGCCGGGCCGAAAAAAATTTGCGCCAGGTGTGCCGCCGGGCCGAAAAAAATTTGCGGCCGGTGCGCCGCCGGGCCGAAAAAATCTTGGGGCCGGTGCGCCGCCGGACCGAAACTTTTTTGCGGCCGGCGCGACGCCCAGCCAAAATATTTTTTCGGCCCGTCGTCGCCCCGGCCGCAATTTTTTTTCGGCTGGGCTTCGCGCCGGCCGAAAATTTCTTTCGGCCCGGCGGCGTTCCGGCCGCAATTTTTTTCGGCCCACCTTGTTTTTCGCCGGAAAACTGGAAAAATTGCCGGAAAATTGAAAAACTTGCCGGAAAAAGTAAACTTACTTGTTTTCCGACGATTGATGACGACGGGAGGTTGGCCGGCGACGGAAGAACGGTGTCGGCGACGGAGGCACTGGGCTCGTCGACAAAATTGTTTTTGTTGGAATGAGTCAAATGTTATGGCATTCGAATTTATAGGAAGGGAAGGAAGGGAGAATTCAAAATTTGAATTCAAAATTTGAATTCAATTTTTTTTTTTTTTTTGCGAAGGGGTGTCGCCAATATGTAGGTCCGCCCCTGGCCCTTGTAGTTTGGCGTAGGGCTGGGCATGCGGGCGGATCATCCGTGGGTTTGGGCCGACCCACCCGCATTTGACCCGAATTTCGTTAAGTGGGTGGGTCTGTGGGTGGGTGACGGGTTGCGTTGGGAGCCATCCACCGGGTGGTGGGTGGGTTGTGGGTGAATGTGCGGGTGACCCGCTCAACCCAACAGCAAAAAGATCAAAGTCGTTGGTGCTAGAGAGAGGAGAATGAAGACGTTAGATATAAACTCGTACTGCTCCTAGAGTTTGAACCTCAAAATCAACCTTCCAAATAGAGATCCCCTCTTCTTCCTTTTACTTTTTCCTCTAATTCTTGAGCCTAGATCACCGCTCTTTCCTTTGTGGAATTATTTTCCTTAGTTCCTTGCACCTAATAATCGTCTCAATCTGTAGAAAACTCTTTCATAATAGAATTTCTATCCAATTTAAGAACTAATTCGGCATTTTTCGCCCTATTTCAACTTCTTGTTTCCCTCGATAATTCTCTTCACCTATTATCATGTCAAGTTGACTCCTTTATATTATATACATTGTGATGTGGGTGAACCCACAAACCCACCCGCATCATCCACCATCCGCCCGACCCAACCCGAGACTAAATGTGGGTGGGTGGTGGGTTAAAAATTATCAATCCGTTTAAGCACGGGTGGGTGCATTTTATGGTCAAAATCCACCCGACCCACCCAATGCCCACCCCTAGTTTGGCGATTGGACAATTTTCTTCCACCGCCAGGCGGAGGACGGCTGGTGGAGCGTCTTCAGGGTCGAGTCCTTCACGGAGAATTTCCTTGCTCCGTTGATCCCGATCCGCGTCGCTCCCAGAATTTTGAACTTTTCCCCACACAACGGTCGCTCCTTGTCTGGGCTCTCTGTCCGACTAGCTGAATCGCTCTGGCAGAGAAAATGTAAAAAGTATTTCTGTCAACAAGAATTCGGGTGGGTGGGTATAGAGATAGGGTTTTCGGTTGGGTTATCAGTTCAATTGGGTTTGATTATTGATTTTTTTATTAATATCGTAAATGATGTGGTGTGCTGACTGGACGAAAGTAACGATTTTTTGGATGAAAATGAACGGAATTAACTTTTGTTATGAGTCCAAACATATATTACTGAAACGTTCACTCTTTTTTTCTTTTTTGTTGTTGTTCGAAATTTGTCTGTTGGTGGGTACTACTGATAGGTAACCATCATTGATAAAATAATGATAATTGAAGTACAGAAGGCATGTACAATGGAGAATTGGAGATAGATAGCACCCACAGAGCAGAGAAAAAAGAAAGAAAGCAGCTTATCCTTCAGCAATAGGACAACTTGCTTACAGCAAATGGATAGCTTTGCACCGGTTCCTTTCTCTTTCGACTGCAATTCTTAGCCGATTCAATTAACAAAAGGCCGTACCTTATCATTTGTTTATGGGTTTGATCATGGCTTTTTGTACCTTATCATTTGTGAGGACCTTTATGGAATCTTCAGCGTTTTAGGGTCAGGACATCATGTCAGGTAGGAATGAAAAATGACGTTTAATTTTATGATTAGACACGCTAACACGCTAGATAATGTCAAAATGTCTTGGGTAAGAGTTTCGTAGTAAGTTAAGAATTCAAAATTAAAGGCGAGTAAGGTAACACCTAAACATAATTAAGCGAACTAGAATGTTAATGTAGAAAGGGGTTATAACATCATTTGCAAAACTCAAACTTTAAACATAATTAAGCGAACTAGAATGTTAATGTAGAAAGGGGTTATAACATCATTTGCAAAACTCAAACTTTTCAATAGTTCGAGAACTTTGTAAGTTATTGATATAAATTTTTAAATTACTTTTCTTATTGTTATATGTTTGATAAGTTATTGATCATTTGAAATGAAGTTGGAAAATACTGTAAAAATGCTATTTGGTTCAACATTTAGTATAAACTGCTAATTTTACTATTAGTGCATATTTTTTTTGCTTCCAGCGGCTAAGTTAGATGTTAGGAAAGTCTCCCGTGGTCGTCTTACATCCAGAGCCATTACGAAACTCATGTAGGATCGCACTTTGTAATAAAATTAATCGGGTTAAAGACACATTTGGTCACTGAATTTACAAAATCGGGACATGTTTAGTCACTGGAAAAAGTTAATATCAAATTTGGTCACTACAATTACTAAAATAGGTCATATTGAGTCACTCTCCGTTAGTCTCCGTCCAACTCCGTTAGTGGAGTCCGTTAAGTGCTGACGTGGCTAACGGATGCGCCTAGTTAGCATCGTTTTGACCCAAAAATCATCATACCCGACCCGCCACGTCAATTTCACCCGCCATGTCATACACCAACCCAACCATTAACCCAAAACCAAACTCTAACACACCTAACAAAAAAAAAATCATCTGGTTAGTGGCCATTTTCAGACCAAAACCCTTCTGAAAGAATACCCAAAACCATTCGAACAAACACAGTGAATCTGAATCCGCCAAAACATCGAACCAAAACGAAGTAGTCAAACAACCAAATAATCTGCCCTAGCGATTCTGAATCCACCAAATACGAACAAAAACGAAGTTCCTACAAGCGACAGAAGCAAACCAAGAGAAAGAAAATCAAATTCCCCTAGAAATTAAATTGAGGGAGAGTACCGGAGCATCGACAAAGGGCTTCAAACACAGATTCCACGCCGGAGAAGAGGAGGAGATGCACTAGAAAAGCTTCAACCGGGTCGATTCGTCGTTCAGAGATTGAGGAGACACGAGGGAGCGGATTCGCGATGGAGGTATTCTTGGCCGAACACTCATCCCATCTCGGGTGTCATGACAAAACCGGCGGCGAAAGAGCTTCGAACTCCTCCGTTGTCGACTGAGGCCTAGGGTTTTTTTCCGACGTAGTTGGGAGGAGAATGAGGGGCGTAGGATGAAATTCGAACGCGCGATGGGGAAAGCTGACTCCGGCGCGCCCTGTGGGAAGACGACGACGGAGCACGACGAAGGTGGATTTGAGGGTTTCGCCTTCTACTGCGATGGCGGAAACTGACGGCGCGCGGCGACGAAGAAGAAGAAGAAGAAGGAGAAGAAGAAATGCAAAATGGAAGGAGGATCTTGGGCAAGGGGGTAGCGTGGAGCTCTTCATCTCTCCCTGGAGTTCGATTGAAAATGGCTGAATCTAGAGGAAGGAGCAGGTTTGCGAGGAAGGAGAAGGGCTTTGGTCTGAAAATGGCCACTAAGCAGATGATTTTCCTTTTTTTTTTTTTTGTTAGGTGGGTTAGAGTTTGGTTTTGGGTCGGGTTGGGTTGGTGTATGACATGGCGGGTGAAATTGACGTGGCGGGTCGGGTATGATGATTTTTGGGTCAAAACGATGCTGACTAGGCACATCCGTTAGCCACGTCAGCACTTAACGGACTCCACTAACGGAGTTGGACGGAGACTAACGGAGAGTGACTCAATATGACCTATTTTAGTAATTGTAGTGACCAAATTTGATATTAACTTTTTCCAGTGACTAAACATGTCCCGATTTTGTAAACTCAGTGACCAAATGTGTCTTTAACCCAAAATTAATCTTATTCACTTTTCTCGTCCATTCTGTCTAAACTGGTTAATTCAATTAGGTCATATCAAGCTAAATTGCATAATTTTTCCTATTTGATTTTAAAAAATCGATCTCGTACGAAATCTAAACGGATACTTGACACAGACGAGACGAGGACCAACTGTAAAGTGGTTGATGTTTATAGACTATAGTGAAGGAAGGAGGTGACTGACTCTCCTCGTTGGGGTAGCCTTTTTTATGGACAAAAAGGACAACTAATGTTTACACAAAAAAAATAATAATAATAAAGGACAATCCCACAAAAAATAAAAAGTTAAAAACAAAGTACAACTAATATTTAGTAAACTTATTGATGATTTAAAAACACCTTGATGAAAACCTTTAATTCTCTTATATTATTACTAAATTTAACGGGTAAATAAAAGTATATTGGGTTTCAGCGTTTTCACTACAACGACAAAGAAAGGAAATACAAAGAAGTGATAATTAATGTTAATTCTTTCTTTTCACAAGGCAAACAGCCGATCAAGCCATTACATCTTATCATAAAGATCTAACTACCGATCATTAACTGAAAAAAAAAAACCCAAATGAATAATATAACAACTTATCATCATCAAAATTTAAAAATAATTGACTATAAAAAAATAGATTACAAAAAAAAAAAGGCTACATAATTACGAAATAACATACTGTGAACAGTGACCAGCTGTGAGTTGTCCCGTGGCATAATCATATTTAACCGCACATATAGTTTTCACGACCATGTGCTTTTTCGTAATTATCTTCACATCCCCGGGGATCCGCGTAACGCAGCTCATCATCAACGACCCGGATTTAACGTCCTCCGTGAGCCGCGACACACCAGATAACTTCACCCCCGAAATCTCCACCGCCACGCTCATATGGACCGTCCCCCTCGCCTTCGCCCTCCCCGGCGGTGTCGCCGCCTCCCCCACCACCGTCTCCCCGTAGTAAATCGTCGCCTCACCGCCGCCGAACCTGAACGCCGCCGCATTCGGGTTCCTCACCTTGACGTCGGCGAGAACCGTGGCGGTCCCGTTGCGGAGGCGGTTGAGGGTCTGAGGCCCGGCGCTGGAGACCCCGGCAACGGCGACGTGTGGGACCTTGATTCGGAAGGCGGAGAAGAGGAGGATGAGGAAGAGCATGGCGGCCATGAGGATGATGGCGGCGGAGCAGCCGCAGAACCTGAGGAAGTTGCGGTGGGGGAGGATCTGCGAGGCTTCTTCAACGGGATCTGGGCCGGGAAATTGCCAGGGAGGATGAGGAGGAGCTGAGGGCTTGACTTGGGCGGCGATTTCCAAGGCCGTGGACTCTGGGGTTTCTGGGTTAATCGACATGGTTTATGGGTCGAGAGATTCAGGCGGAAAGGGGAGGATTTGGGTCAGAAATCATAATCTGGAAATGGTGAAGAAAGAAGGGGATTGGGATTGCGTTTTTTCAGTTTCTTGTCGTGTGAGGACTGAGTAGAAGAGAGTGGAGGCGGAGAGGTAGTAAATTGGGGGAATGAATCAGGATTAGGGATTTGGGGGAAGTTCGGGGAAAGATACTCGTATTCTTCTTCTACTACTTTGTAGTTCGTTCGTACTAATCGCAGGGACGGAGCTAGCGTGTAAGGAGGGGGGGCCATGGCCCCCCTAAAATATAAAAGTCTGACTTTGCACCAACAATAGATAATACAAGCTGTGGTCTAGCGGTGTGTAACATGTAATTATAAAGGTGAGGTCATAGGTTCGATGGTTGCTATCTGCACCTTTTAATTTTGTGAAATTTTGCACCTTTTAATTTTGTGAAATTTTGATTCCTAACCTCAAATTTTGCATGGTTTATGATTTGGTACCTAATTTTTCATTTTGGTACATTTTTCGTCCATTGTCTTACAATTTGGTACCTAAAATTTGCATGAATCATTCATGAAATTTTGCTTCTAAATCCCAAGTTATGCATGTGTGATTTGATAATAAATGTTTTCATTTTAGTACACATTTTGTCCCAAATTTCGCATACCTTACGATTTGGTACCTAAGTTTTCCATTTTAGTAGTGTTTTTGACTTTTTGCCCATTGTCTTACTTTGTATCGAGCTTTCTCATCCACAACCTTTCTATACAATGCTCTTCTACTAGTTAAAAATAGACTTCTATGTGTCAATATTTTGGTAATTTGTGTTGAACGATAAATAACATAATAAACTTTACTTCAAAAATTTTATCGGCCCCCCCTAACCTAAATTCCTGGCTCCGTCCCTGACTAATCGTGTACTGTTGATTGGGTCAAGAAAAGAAGCGAGGCAACCAGCCATGTCTGGTGACTCAAAGGTAAGAGAATCAAAGGAATAAAAATCGTATTGTCGGTTCGATTAGAAAATCTGAAAATTTCATTGTTAAAAGTAAAATTTATTGACGGTATAAAATTGTTGAATCACGAAAAAATCACAATTTTAACATAAAATACGATAATATTGGCTGTTCTAGTACAACCTCCAACATTGTTTTACCATTCCTTGTTAAAATTTGGTTATCCATTACGCGATTGCACATAAAATTACATTGGCTGCTTTAAAAGTATGATAATTGATAATACTTTTTTGTACATAAATACACACCGTTAATTTTTATGGGGTCGTTTGGATGGATCAATTGAAAAACAAGATAATTTGGCCAATTGTCTCATTTTACAAACTGAGTCATTTAAAACGAGTGAATCCGAATTGCCTGCCCCACCTCGGGCAATTGTAATTACCTCTAAAGACAATTTGAAATTCTCCATACAATATTGCTTTATCTAAATTTTGCGTTGCCATACGGACAGCGGCGGATCCAAAACATAGTAGAGGACTTGGACACATTTGAATAGAAGATTAGATACCGTAAACAAAAAATAAATGATGACTATATTTTTTATTACAATGTCAATTGTACATGACAGTCTTTTAATTTACATACCGTTTGGTATAAATGAATTCCATAAATTTTGAGGAATTCATTTTGAAATGAAACATTTTTGTGTTTGGTATTTAAAAGAATTCACTTCAATTCTAAATTTTGAATTCTATGGAATTGGAACTAGTTATAGCAATTCCTAGGAATTGAGATGGAATTTCCAAATGAATTCCACAAGTATTTACTAATTATAATAGAATGACATAATTATCCTCTTTATCAATTAAATTAATTATATATATGACATAAAAAAAATCATTTGACAATGAATTCTACATGACAATGAGTTTTATTTCTAAAGATTTGAATATGACATACCTAACACAAGATTTCATTTGACAATGAATTGTACTTGTTAATTCATTTTACAATGAAATGAATTCTCGATTCATTTAGTACCAAACTGTCTGTTAGAGAATTCATCAAATCATGGAGTCTTCATCCATACCAATAACATACTCTATCTAAAAAAAATAGTTAAGCAGTTAGCGAGAAATTCATCGCTCATTTTATTGCGTAAATAAGTTTTTACATGTTTCATTGCAGAAAATGTTATCTCCGTAGTAGTCGTTGAAACGAGCTAGATCAATATCAAAAGAATCAACCGACAAATCAATTTGCATTGTGTATCCATCTTTGTTTCCGCTAGCTTCTCTAGTAATTTGGCTAGGGTAGAAACTTCATATTCATGACTATGAACAACATGAGCGACATACTATCGTAGATCATTCTTCAAATAATGCATCTAATAGCCTTCAAAATCTTAAAGATAAAACTCTTGAGCAAGTTTGTAAATATTTTCTTCATCAAAAGACCGGACAGATCTTTTAGGATCTAGTGCATCACTCTACTCAAACAATTTAAATGATTACTCAACAAGTTTATAAATATTCTTTTTGGACCGACTTTTAAATATTACTAGGCCAAACACCTAAATCGAAAAATCATACGTACTATGCAAGCTTTGGATCGGAGGAGGGCTTGGCTGTGGCCTAGGGAGGTCCAACCCTAGATCCGCCACTGCATACGGATCAATTTGCCCAAATTATTTTAAAACGAAGCAATTGGGCCAAATTGATATGTTTGCTGGCGAAAATTTGTTCCATTTAATGGGAATTTGATTTGCATTCGACAAGGTTGAGTTGTTTTTCCATTTATTTTTATGCATTTTTTTAATAAACGGAGCGATACAGCGTTCCAATCGATTAAATTAGAACAAGTCTAGGGGACTGAATGCCCAATACATCGTGGAGAAGTAAATAATTCAACGACGAGCTCGCAGAAGTAAAAATATGCTCGCCCACACTGTACGAGTGCCCCAACGAAACTAGGAAGTCCGCCACAAAGTTAAAGTATGTGAGAAATTAAAATATTGGATATTTTTTAATGTTTCTACTTTCTAGTAATCAAACTGACAGATTGTGGATTTTGACATTTTTTTAATGTTGTGGTGTGTACGATATAAGTACAAGTTTGCTCTTATTTTAAAACTCGTGATGTGTTTGATAATATTGAAAACTAACAATGGAGATGTGTAAACATTAATCAGATCTGACGTTTTCTCCACTGAAGATTTTTTATTAAAGATTGATTGGACTGTTGGGTTAGAATTTGCGATAGATAGGGTTAGAACTTAAAGTATTGTAGTGAAGTTGATCCTCTTCTGTTTGTGACTAATTGATACATATTGCTAACCAAATAAATATGTGTTTTTTATTTTTTTTTTTTAGATTATTGTCTTTTTTGTATTGTCGATAGTCACGACCAATCTACATGATAAATTGAATTTCTGAAAAGTAATATAGTATTATGATAAATTCAAAGCAATATGTCTATGTTGTTCATATAAATTATAAACGACCTAGATGTATAGGTCTAAAATTATTATGTCATTATGAATATCCCAAAAAATTATGAGAATCATGAATAAAGGTTTACCCATTTAAGATATCTATATATTAATATTCCCATCTCCAAACTACTTCTAGATAATCGCTTATTTCATTTTAATCTGAGGTAGAACCTGAAAGGTCAAAAATGAGGAAAATGATACAAGAGTCGTAGTCATAGTCCATGGTACTATTGGAGGTGGGAAAAGGGACCTCCTAATCAACCGGTGAAAACAATGTGGAACTGACTAAAAACGGTAGGACTTTGATTGAGATAGTTCACAATTTCATCATATTAAAGTAGTTTGGGGAGAGCAGAGGGAGAGAGAGGAAGTAGGAATAATTTTTTTACGCTCTGTTTGGCAACAAGGGGGGTGCAAATTGCAGGAGGGTGCAAGTTGAGGGGTAAATTGTTGGGGGGTGCAAATTGCTGGGGGATGTAAGTGGAGGGGTAAATTGTTGTTTGGATGAAAAAGTAGGGGGTGCAAATAGAGTGAAAAGTAAGTAATTATATTATTTTAAAATAGATTTTAAAAATACATTTTAGATTACAAAATAGATTTTAAAATTTTAAAATATTATCATAAAATAATAAAATAAATATTATTATATAATAATAAATATACTTTACTAAAAATAGTTATTATATAATAATGCTCAAATAATAATTAATTATGACAATTGTATAATCATTGATCGAGCGATCTCAAAACTCGAAGCTCAACTTGTAACTGGTCATCCTATATAGGGTTTTCGTGTCTAGTTTAATTTTAAATTGTCAAACTTAGTCAAACACGTTCGAATTTGTAAGTTTTAACTATTTATTCAAATAAACTGAGTTAACCAAACAATTTCTCTCTATCTTTTTCACAAACACCTCGTATCTCTAATTTTCAATGCAAATTCGATTCAACCAAGAGATCTAGATTTGACTTGACGAACATTGATAAACTTGTTTCCCGAGTCAAATGGTCAACCCCGAATAATGTTTACATTAATGATATTTATAAAAAGAAGAAATTGATAATATTAATTATTATATAATTATATATAACACAATTAGAAAAACAAAATTTCATAATTTCCTCTCCCCCTCTCTTCCTTCCTTCCCTTGCACCCCAATTTGGGGGGTAAGCCGAAACAGTAAATTTGCACTCCCGTTTTGCACCCCCCTACTGTTCCAAATTAACCAAACAGGTGCAAATGTGTTGGAAACTGTATTTACCCCTCACATTTGCACCCTCCTCCCATTTACCCCTCTTCCCAAACAGAGTGTTAAAGACCGACGGCAAAGTCTCCTAGTTCATAATATTAATAGATCGATCCA